CAGCCCCCACCTGCTCGCATCCTTCTGCCTGAGACCCCCCCCCCCCCAGATCAGTGGTCCGCCTCCCACCTGTATTGCATATCCCTTTGCCTAGGTTAGCTGCTTCTGGCTGCGGGGCTCCAGATTTGCTGGCGCTAAAACTGCCCTCCGGGAGCTGTGGCCTGCATAGGGTGGCCCACTCTGCAAAGGAGAGTTCTCTGGTCTGCAGAGCCGTTGGAGGTCATTCCTCTGCTTGGTGGGCTGCCATCATCACAACCGAAGCAACGGGGTGGGTGTCTTGATTGCCTGGGCGGCAGGCTGAGCAACACCAAAAGATACTTTCCTAGGGGGATGCTCACACCCTTCCAAATTCCAGGAATGGAGGGCATCCGACGCAGGGTGGAAGGAGCATAGAGTGGGAGGGCCCTGCTGATTTCAGCTCAGTGCAGCATCCTGGGGGAGGGAGAAAGGGGGTCCCATCCCACCCTATCCTAGTGGTGGTGGTACTTGCCTTCAAAGCCCCCCACAAAACCCTTCTTTAAGGTTGCTGGTAATGATCCCAGAGAAGCAAGTCCTGCAGGAGAAGGGACCTGTGCACAGCGCTGGGACCAGGTGTGTTTTTCAGCCTTGGGACTGGGAATCAAACCATCGCTGCCTAGATTCCACCCCTTAGGGCCACAGGCTTGATCCATTGTTCCATCTGTCCCATCATGCTGAGCCGTACTGTACTGTTATTACTGAAATGTCAAGAGCTTATTGTATGAGGTGTTTAATCCATTTAATTAAGAAATAAATAGTGCATTTCTGTTTGAAGTAATAGTGCAATTATTTCTACTCTCCATATATAGGCTTGTACTGGCACAAATTCCTGGCAATCCGTGTGCTGATCGCTGCCGTTCTGTCCCGGTAAAGGGGATCGACATGCCTTTTGTGAGTGGGGGAAGCAGGACAGAAATCTACTCCTCATCTCCCACTACTCTTGCTAGGGGTCCACAACTCTTTTTGGACTAGGCAGTAACATCTTTCCTCTTTTGGACCCCGTGCTGTTTGGTTGCTCTTCCTTTGGATTGCGGTGGTTTTGAACGGTCTTTGCTAGCAGGATTGTTTCAAACTATTTTTATTTTTCTGTGTATTCTGAAAGAAGATTTTGTGGGGGCGGGCGGGTATAATGCAGTATGATTGCCACTGAGTGTCAAGGTGTTGTTCACCACCGTGAGCAGACTTTGTTCAGAAAGAGGTCTTTACATCTTCATCAGTATTACTACATTGCATTTATACCCCACTGTTTTTGCTAGGTAAGGTGGCTTCCCTAGCTCCATTTTATCCTCATGACAACAGCCCTGTGAGGTAGATTGGGCTGAGAGTCTGCGACTGGTCCAAAGCTACCTAGGAACTCCATAGCCAAGTGGGTGGCTAGAACCCATATTTACAGGCCTCCGGTCTAGCACTCTTGCTACCAGACCCCACCACTTCTCATTTTACCTTGGCTATTTTATTTTATTTATTAGATTTGTATCTGCCTTTTTTCTTTAAAGAACTCAAAGCAGCTTATATCATTCTCCTCCTGCTGCTCCACAACAACAGCCCTGTGAGGTAGGTTGGGCCAAGAGTCTGTGGCTGACCCAAAGTCCCCCAGTGGGCTCCGTGGCCGAGTGCTTTTCAACCAATATGTCCTCTTGAAAGAATGAAAGGCATCTATTTTCCCAGGAGCAATTAGGCACCACCACTGCGGTTCCAGGAAGGGCATTTGAGTAAAGGGGTAAGCAACCTGGTCACCTCTGGATGCTTTGGGCAACAATACCTCCACCCTGGCCTTGGGAAGACCATCCAGTTGGTTACCCTGGAAAATTTTATTTCTCGTTTAACCTGTCCCCTGAGGGACTCCTCCTGCACCCCTGTCCTCCTCGTATCCTGTTAGCACCACTAAGTGAATGTGTGAAGTTGCAATCATATTTCCTTTCGGAAGATGTCAGTGGAATACAGTATGCAGAGATATGATTTCTGTCAGCATCAAAATTTACTGGAATGAGGAGCAAGGAATTCTCACCAAACTCACGTCAAAACTTATATGCCCCAGCATAATGCATCTTGCTGTTAATTAAAAACAGAGGTCTCTGTGTTTCTAGCAGTTAATCGTTCTGGTACATTACTAGGAAAAATGCTGCAGTGGGTTATCTCTGGAGCATGAGAATCGAGGGATTACCAGCTGTTTGCGCCAGACTGGTCTGTGTCGTTTAGTATTCTGCCACCAAACATGGTCAGCACTTGGGGTTTTGGACTAAAGAGCAAAGTCAGTCAAGGGGATGCCACGAGTCGCAGTCCACTATGTCTGGAAGGCTCCTGGTTAGGAAAGGCAATGATGAGGCTGCTAGGAATGATGAAAATCAAAGGCATTCTTCAGAGGTAGCTGGGATGCAGGGGAAACCAGGACAGGCCATGTGCACAACGGGACTTGCTGGCATCGTGCACCGTTCGGTGTTCGCACTGCGCCCGACTTACGCATTTCACAGCAGGCAGGGGAGGAGTGGAAATGCAGAAGTTCAGTTCTGGGCACAGGACACCAGAAATAAAATCCTGGCAACTTCCGATGGCATCCGACATCTCCCGGACATTCCTAACCAAACAGGGAAAGGTTTGTCCCAGAGCTTCCCTTCCTCCCCAGCCCCACCCCTGGTCCATGTCTCATTTCCATCAGCAAACCATCCTGGTTCTCATGCTCAGAACTCCAGGTACTCAGAAAGCCTTTGACAATTAATTTATTATCCCACCCCTGTAAAGCCACATGCTCACACCTTTCCCAAAGAAAGGAAATGCACCATATTAATTGTTGGTGTGCTCATTTATGGACACGCACAGAAATTCAGAACTAATTTATTTAAAATGCTTGTACGCCATCCCTTATGCACAACTACAATAACAATGCAGCACATTTCAGCCTTGTGGGGGAGACCGTGCCCATGTATGCTGGGGCCCTGCTGTCCAGTTTGCTGTCCAGGGGATGAGCAACTTCAGAGCCACTGATCTCTGCTCCCTCCTCCAAGCTTCATATCATCAAACCAGACTTGGCTTAGGCAGCCCAAACCCAAAGCTCTCAGGGCAGTTCAAAATGTTTTAAGTCACCCCTCCAGATCTCAACCAAGCCAGATGCTGCTTAGCTTCCAAGGTCTGGCAGGATCAGGCATTCCAGGCTATATTACATTTATACCCTGCTTTTCTTCCTTTTGCACGGAACCCAAGGTGACTCTTGAGAGAGGGAATTCTGAAAAAGTATCCCTCAGAAGAGAGCCAGTGCAGCACCATGGGGCGAGGACTCAAGAGTGGGATTCTAGTCCCCGCTCAGCCTTGAAGCTCAACAGGTTAACTCTGGGCACAGGTTCTCAGTCCAACCTACCTCAGAGGGTAGTTGTGGAGATAAGATTGAAAGCAGGAGCAGCATTATGTAAACTGCCCTAAGTGCCTTGGAAGGGAAAAAAGGCAGTATATGAATAAAAATAACAAATATTCCACATTATTGAGTGATTGTGCATCCCACCTGGGAGATGGGTGAGAGCAGCAGCAGCAAACACCTGCAGGAAGAGACAGGGTGTTCAAGGAAATAGCGTTGAGTACTGACATGAGGCAGGGCCTCCTCTTGGGTGGCACACTGACCTTGGCATGGCTGCCTCCAGAGCATAAGAAGAGCTGGGCTAGGCCAGAGCCGGGGTCCATGCAGCGCAGCACCCTGCTTTCAAGCCCATTGACCTCTTGGCACCAATGGCAGGATCGGGGCAGCTCCAGGTCTCCACTTGCTGGCCAGAATCCAAGCGAGCACGGTGGTGGCTGCAGGATTCGTCCCAGGCCATTGGAGTGGGCTGTTCCTTCCTGGTCTCCTGCCTGCAGTTGTAGGGTTCAGCACCTGAACCTTGCCAGATTCAATGCGTGCTCTGCTCTGCCGGCCGCACCTCTGCAGCTCCTGGATCCTGCTGACCTACCCTGCCTCGGGGGGGGGGCAGGGGGAGGCCTCCCCACTATGCTGTACTCCCAGTTCCAGCCCTCGGCTTGCCTTGATATGTGCGCCTGGTCCCCGGCTTGGGCCTGCTTCTTGCTGCAGCCTTGCCTTTGCTGTTGGTCTTTGGGCTGTTTCTGGGCTGTCTTTCCTCAAGTCCTGCAGCCTGGGCCCCAGTTGTCTGCCTCGGCTCCTGCCCCCCCCCCCCCCCCCCCCGTCCCTGCCCCGGCCTCTGCTCTCTCCATAGCACATGGTTTCCCAGCAGTGTGTCATGGGCACCAGTTGCTGGGGAACATGGGCAGGGGCTGTCCTGCCAGGGGCTTCCCATGGGTGACCAGAAGGTCTGATGAGGCCTCAGGGCTCTCCTCACCATTAGTAAGTGGTGTGTGGCCACTCTAGTCAACAGTATTGCTGATAAAATACCTGACTATTGTTGCATTATCTTCACGCCCCAGCTTTCTTCCTTTGCAAGGAACCCTAATTGGCTCCCAAGGGGTTCCACCTTTCCATTTTATCTTCACAGCAGCAACCCTGCAAGATTGGTTAAGGCGAGGGGGAGTAAGGGGCCCAGAGTCACCCAGTGAGCTTCAAGGCTGAGTGGGGACTGGAATCTAGCTCTCTTGAGACCCAAAGCTATGCTCTAACTGCTGCTCCACACTGCCTCAAAACGGGAGTTCGCATCCAAAGTGACATGCTGCTTTTCGAACTTTTTCTCTTGAGACGGGCAGGAGCTCCAGGACATATTCAAGCCAGCCTTTGGCATCCCAGCTATCACATAAGAACTTCCCCTGAAGGACACGTGTTGGCTCGTTGAGATGGGAAGCAGCCCTTCCTGGTTCCGCGACTGCTTCCTGCGTTGTAGATTTGCGATGAAGGGTTGTTGCAGAATTCGTTCTCCTCTTGGGTCTAGAAAGAGGCTCCAGGAAAAACCTAAGAACCACCCTGCTGGGTCAGACCGAAATGCGTTCTTCTCGGTTTGCATTCCGTTCGCACAGTGGCCCATCAGGGGGAAGCCACCAGCGGGAGATGCGCGCCCATGTGTGGGCAACTGGTCTACACACGCACACCGCTGGAAGTAGCATCGCGCCATGAGGACTGGTAACCACGGCCGCCCTTCTGCTACAAGAATGCGCCCGGTCCCCCTCTTCCCGCCGTCTCAGTGCGCTAGCTTTACCTGCCCTTTCTGGCAAGGCTCCTTGGAAACCTTCCCGACGTATCGTCTTGCTGCTACAGCAGAAGCAGCCGCGACGCCCCCGAAGGGTTAATCCGGCGCCCACCCACCCACCTCCCGCCCCTTTCGGAGGGAGCTGCAGAAGCGACCTCGCTCCGGTTTGAAAAAGGCACCCGCAAGCCGCCTGTGCGCCCAGGGCGCACGCAGCTCTCCTCGCCCCTTCGCGCCTTCGGGAGCTACCACTCGCTCTCCGGCTCCGACGGGTCTCCCTTCCCAGTCACAGCCCGGCGGCCCCCGCCTCCGGTCGAAGGCCCGCCACCCGCCGAGGCTCTCCGCTGGCTGGGAGGATGGGTCTCTGAGCCGCTAGCTGTGCGAGAGCTGCCTGCGCAGCCGGCTCGTCGCCCTCTCCAAAGCGCCTCTCCAACCCAGCGGCGTCCCCAAGATGTCCCTGGTCTTCCTTTGGTGCTGCTGCTCTTTCTGGGGATGTACCTTGGCGACGGGATTTCTGTATCAGTTCCCGGCATCGGCCCTGCAGCACAACTACCCCGAGCAGAGCTCCGGGGGACCGTCGGGCAACGGCTTCGCAAATCGCCGGTGAGTGTCCGCGAGCCCTTTGCCCAACGGGCGCGCGCGCGGGCGCCGCGCGGATGGCTTGGACTTGGGCGCCGCTGAGGAGAACAAGGGCGCCTTAAGGACGCCGTGCTTCCCTCTGACAATGCGGGCGGGCGGGCACGCAACAGCTGGCGGGGGCTGGCGAGAGAATCAGTGCCGGGGTTTGCGGCCACCGGGCTTCCTGCCAGGCATAACTGGGCGCGAGGTGGTGCTTCCGAAGGAGACTTGGAGGCGCAGTTTCACTTCCAATTCACCGAGTGCCCTACCGGTCCCTTTTCTCTTTTTCTGCTGGGGGAAAAAAATCCTTTAGGAAGAAAGTGCAGAGCCCCTTTACTGACAGGCTTGGAGCAAACAGTCGAAGAGATTTCTTTCGTATTAAATGGCACATCATGTTGCTTTTTGTGTTTACATTTAAATGCCGCCTTTTTTCCCTCTTCCAAAGAATCAAAGTGGTAAGCAGGACAGGCCTCTTCTCTCTTGCAGTCGCACAACAACCCTGTGAGGTGTGTTTGGGCTAAGCCTGTGACTGGCCCTGAGGCTCCCAGTGAACTTCATGGCCAAGTGGGCCACCACTTTACTCTCCACGCCTTGCCAGCTTTTAGCCTTACCGACCCGCTGGGCTTGATGTGATAAAATGGAGAGGAGGCAGTTCCCATAACCCAGTGAGTAATGAAATAATTGCAGTGGATTGTTATATGTGCTACAATTGCAAGCATGGACTGTAAGTGCAAGGAGGCATCTGTCTGGAGGTTCGGTCGTCTGAGCTGGCAGCCTTCTCTTTCTCCTTCTCCACACCCGGAATGGTGCAGTCTCTGTGGGCCAGCTCAGGCAGCTGTAGCCCACCCAGTGATGCCGTGCCAAGCAGTGGACTGGGCCATTGTAATCCTAACTCCACAGCTCAGATCTTCAAGAACACAACGCTGTTGTTCAGGCATCGCCAACTGGGTACTCTCTAGGACTGCAGTGCCCATCATCCCCATTCACCACAGCCAGGGAAGGCAGAGAGTTAGGTGTGGGTGGGTCTGTGGCCAGGAACTGTCACAGTGCACGGGTGCAGAAGCTGAAGCCCTTCAGCCCGCCAGTGCAGCAGCACACGTGAGATGGGCCCCCTGTGGGGACACAGGAGGCCTGGTTTCCATGATGCTCCCATGATGCTCAAGAGGGTGGATGCAAACTTGGCGCGGGGAGCAAAGATGCCAGTCAGTAGGTGCCATATCCTGCCTTTTTTCCTCTTGCAAGGAACCCAAGAAGGCTTATGTGATCCCCCTCCTCCTCTCTGTTTTATCCTCACCACAGCCCTGTGAAGTAGGTCAGAGTCCACGACTCTCCCCAGAGTTACCCGGTAAGCATTGTGGCTGAGCAGGGACTAGAACCTGGATCTCCCAAGTCTAATGCTCTCTCCACAGGGCTCGGTTCATGCTGCCCCTTTCCTATGTGATTTGAGACCATTGTGGGATCTGGGCAGCTCCAGGGCTCTGACTGGGGGCCAAAACCAGAACAGCCACTGTAGCATTTGCAGGACCACTCCCAGTCCCTGCTGGAGCACTCGGTCTCCTCATGAGCACCAGCTGGGATAGCTGGGGAAGAGCTGTGCATGAGCAAGCTCTGCTCTCCCTTGGCTGCCTTAGTAGCAGCCCTTGCTGTCTTGCCTGGTCCTTGCCGTATTACCCCAGCAACCTGGCTGTCCTGAGTTCCAGTGCTTGCATCTCACCTGCGCAGATTCTTGCCTAGCTTGTCACGCCTTCTGCCATTCCCAGCTCCTGCCCTGTTTATCGTCCCTCAGGTGCCTGCCCCCTGCTCTGTCTGTCGAGTCTCTTGACCCTTGTCTTGCTCATGCCCACATCCTGGCCGTGCTCTCATACGCACCCCCGGTTCCTGACACTGGCCATGGCTCAGCTCCCAATCTAAGTATCAGGCTCTGGACAGTGTTTAAGCCCTGCCCTGCTTTGAAACCCAGTGCCGGGATCCCAGGGCCTCTGCCATGACTCCTGCCACACACCTCCCAGTCCCTGACAACCGTTCCTTTTGCTCCCATGAGTCGGTTCACTGGTGGAGCCCCACCCCTTTTGTCTCTGGCCCCACCTGCCGCAGGAATGGGGTCCTGGAGAGCTTTTCCAAAGTTGAATTTGACCCTCCACCTGAAAGAGTTTCTGCTTTCTCAGTGCAGAATCAGCCACAGAGAAATCAAGCAGGGAAGCCACTTACAAGAGGCCAAAAAAGAGAGCCGATATTGGCATAAAAGAGGATGCCCAATTCGCAGCGCATTTACACATGACTATGCACATTTTGAAATAATACTCAAATTTAAATGGCATTCAAATTCAAACAGGGCTTAAACAGATGTCCACCACTGAGTAAAGTTGGACATGCGGCCACCCTAAAATCAGGTGGTGGGCATGCCTGTGCAAAGGTGTTGTCAGACATCTCAAGCGCTATTTCAAAATGTGATGAATTTTGAACACAGCTGGCCCTTCTGTGGAAGGGGAAGCGCTTAAGCTGCATGCATGGATCGCGAGCCAGCTTTCCAGGCAGCTTCACTGCTGGATTTGGCCCAGCTTTTCAGTGCTCCGGTTGCTTATTTCATGACTGAGTCAATGTTTGGCACGGGAGGAGTCGTCTTCTCCCTGATCATGAGCAGAAGTGAAGGACTGGAGCTACTAGAAGCAACAGAAAATAAAAGTTCATCTTTGGACTGTATCACTGGTTTATGTGAAAAACAAGACATGTGCAACCCCCTTTAAGTAGTAAGCAAGTTAAAATGAATGCTCCTGCAGTGTGTTTTTGTTCTACTGTAGTGTCAAGGAAAGTCAATTTTTGCAAGAGCATCGTTTATTACCTTCCTTGTTCAAATGCGTTCCACACCCAGGGGCCTTCATTTACCTAAGGCAGCGATGGCGAACCTTTTAGTGCCCACACTGCAACCAGGACCCACTTATGTATTGCAAAGTGCCAACACTGCAATAAAACCTGAAAACTGAGGTTTTAGTTTAGAAAAAACAACTCACCGCCAGTCCAAGCAAATCTCTCTCTCTCTCTCTCTCTCTCTCTCTCTCTCTCTCTCTCTCTCTCTCTCTCTCTCTCTCTCCTTGGCAGCGCACTGACTGGCCATGAGAAAGCTTGGATGAGTTGTGGCTAGTGACATCATTGCCTGGCGCCGCTACTCCTTTCCGAGCACGCGCATGGCCCCTGTGTGCGCTGTTATCCGTTGCTCAGCTGCTGGGGTGATGCTGGGGCGACTGGGCTCGCGTGCTGGCAGAGAGGGCTCTGGGTGCCCGCTGTGGTGCGCATGCCATCGGTTCGCCACCACTGATCTAAGGTGTCATGATCAAAGACCTGGATATGGCACTGCATGCCCATCAGACAGATTGAGTTCAGACAACCCAATAAGCCATGATGGGTTGTCAATGTGGGTTGTTTCAGGGTAGTTTGTAGTGATGTCTGAACCCAGGTCAGTATTTTCACTGCAGGTTGTTTTTTAGTATGATTGGGTGGGATATGTTGGGAATTGTAGAAGTTTTTCCTTTCTGTCCATGCATGGGACTACAGGACATTTTTCTGATTGAACCTGCATGGGCTTATACAGCTTTCTACACCTGCACAGGATAATAGGTCTTTTCCTGACTAAAGATGCACAGGACTGCACCCTTAGTTCCATCTGCCAGGGAGAATTCCATTTTTAATGTTCCTGCCCCTATTAAATCACAATGCCCATTTCTGTCTTCTCAGGGAAATCCTGTCATTTCTTTATGTACTAATTTCTAATCAGTGCAAGTGATTAGAACAGTCCTCCATTTGAGTTCATAGCCCTTCCCAGAGAGCTGGACTGCACTTCCTATTATCCTAATCACTGCTGTGCTCTCTGGGTGGTAATGGGAGTTGTAGTCCAACCCTGGAAGGCATTAGAGGCTGCAATGGACAGGACTGCTTTAGAAAGCGGTGGCTGGTTAATTAGGAGGCCTCAGCAGCGTTCCTTGTTATAAATGCAGAGGGTTTTCAGCCATGAAATGGTGGCAGGGTGTTTCTTTGTGCCTCCACAAACCAGTGGAGGACACGTGCATGCTTTCGGCTCAGTTCCTGGCATCTTAGGACCTGGTGGGAGGGCTGGGAAAGAACCCCGGGGGAGAGAGCCGCTGCCGGGTGGAAGAAGCAATACCAAGGGAAGGAGCTGCGACCTGAGCTGCAAGGCAACGTCCTGTGGTGCTAATAAATCCTCTCTTACTGGTGAAAGAATGCACATAACCCGCTGCAAGAGCTCTGCTGGGCCAGACCAAAGACCTGCCCAGCTGGGCATCCTGCTTCCCACAGTGGCTTCTGGGAATTGCACAAGCAGGGCCCCTGCCTACTGATATTCTCCAGCAGCTGGTATTTGGAGTCATACTATCTCTGCATCTGGAGGCGTTGAGCAGAGTTCATCCCCAGGAGCCATTAGCTCAGTTTGGGCGCTCACGTTTCAGCGCGTTAAGCCAGGATATGCTTTTGCCCACTTGTACAGCCCCTCATTCCCTTCAGCCGTTAGACCAAGAAGTCTCCAGCCATAGGTTCTCGGTTTGAAAGAACTGGAAATGATGGTTACCAGCTTTAGAACAAGCCAGGATCTTAAACCAGCTTGTAACCATGATTAAAGATCTTGAAGCTGGTAACCATTGTTTCCCAGGCTGGACAAAACAGGAAACAGTCATTGGAGATGGGCTGGTTTGAGGGACGTGTGCTGTTGGATGCACAGGACAGCCAGTTCTTGCACACATCATTTTAATAAGGTTGTTTTCATGTTTTCACCATCATGTTTCTAACAGGCCTATATTCCAAGAATTTGCCAAATCCCTCTTTTAAAGTCATTCAACCTGGTGCCCCTTTTTGCATCTTAGGGTAGTGGGTTCCATAATTTAATCATGCGTTATATAAATAAGTCCTTCCTGTTGTCACTTTCATGGGTTGACCATTTTGGATTCTAATGTCGTAAGAACAGGAGAAAATCTTCTTTC